TCCATATGCATTTTAGGATTGACTTGTGCATTTCTGGAAAAAATAAAGGGCATGTCAAATTTTAATATCGATTGCAATGAATCTGTACCAATTTGGGGAATATTGTCATCTTAAGAGTATTAAGATTTCCACTCCATGAGAATGGCATGGTTTTCAATTAATTTAAGTTTTTTATGTCTTTCAGCACTATTTTGTAGTTCTCAGCATAAAAGTCTTCTACTTCTTTCATTAAATTTATTCCTAGGTTATCTTATTTTGGATGCTATTCTAAGTGAAATTGCTTTCTTAATTTCCTGTTCAGAATGTTCAATGCTAGCGTATAGAAATACAACTGATTTTTTTTATTCCCACCCCCCAAAACTGATTTTTTTTTTTTTAATGGAGTCTCGCTCTGTCACCAGGCTGGAGTGCAGTGGCACAATCTCAGCTCACTGCAAACTCTGCCTCCTGGGTTCACGTGATTCTCCTGCCTCAGCCTCCTGAGTAGCTGGGACTACAGGCAAGCGCCACCACACCTAGCTAATGTTTGTTTTTTGTTTTCTTTTGAGACTGAGTCTTGTTCTGTAGGCAGAATGAAGCATAGTGGCACAATCTCCACTCACTGCAATCTCTGCCTCTTGGGTTCAAGCGATTCCCCTACCTCATCCTCCCAAGTAGCTGGGACGACAGGCACACAACACCACACTTGGGAAATATTTTGTATTTTTAGAGATGGGGTTTCACTATGTTGGCCAGGATGGGCTCAATCTCCTAACCTCGTGATCCACACACCTCAACCTCCCAAAGTGCTGGGATTATAGGCATGAGCCACCGCACCTGGCCACAACTGATTTTTGTATGTTGATCATGTATCTTGAAAATTGGCTGAATTCATTTATTTATCTAGTAGCTTTTTTTGTGTAGATTCTTTAGGATTTCTCTATATAAGATCATATCATCTTTGAATAGAGACAGTTTTACTTCTTCCTCTCCAATTGGATGCAACTGATTTCCTTTTATTTCCTAATTTCTCTGGATAGAACTTCCAGTACACAGTTGAAGTGGTGAAAATAGGCACCCTTATAACTGATCATGGGGGGAAGGCTTTTAATATTTCAGCATTGAATATAATACTAACTGTGGGGTTTTCATAAATGCCCCTTTATCAGATTGATGAAGTTCCTTTATATCCTGATTTGTTTTTATCATGAGAAGGTATTGGATTTTCTAAAATGCTTTTTTCACATCAATTGAGATGATGATATGTTTATTTTTTTCCTTCATTCTACTAAATGCTATATTATACTTTTTGCTTTTCATGTGTTAAATCACTCTTGCATTCCTAAGATAAATCCCACTTGGCATGGTATATAATCCTTTTAATATGCTGTTTGATTTGGATTGCTAGTATTTTGTTGAGGCTCTTCCCATCTATATTCATGTGAATATTGGTCTGTAGTTTTACTGTGATGTCTTTTCCAGTTTGTTTTTGTTTGTTTGTTTGTTTTGAGATGAAGTCTCACTCTGTCACCCAGGCTGGAGTGCAGTGACACGATCTCAGCTCATTGCAACCTCCACCTCCCAGGTTCAAGTGATTCTCCTGCCTCAGTCTTCTGAGTAGCTGGGACTACAGGTGTGTGCCACCACGCCTGGCTAACTTTTTGTATTTTTAGTAGAGATGGGTTTTCACCATGTTAGCCAGGATGGTCTTGATGTCCTGACATCATGATCCACCTGCCTTGGCCTCCCAAACTGCTGGCATGAGCCACCAGGCCGTGCCCAGCCCTCCAGGTTTGTTTTTAATCAAGGTAATACTGGCCTTATAGAATGAGTCAGGAATATTCATGTTTTTATTTTTGAGTTATTTTATTTATTCCAGATACAAGTTTCTTATGATATATAGCATCTGAAGTGTTTTTTCAAAGTCTCAGGGTTTTGTTTTGTTTTTTTTTAATTCAAAGACTTAAAAAATAAAGAACAATGATTGGCCCTAAAATGCAATATTCCATGGACAACCTCACAATTTTTGTCAACAAACTGAAACTTTAGCACATTTTAAAAATATATTCCTTTTGGTGGCCGGGCATGGTGGCTCATGCCTGTAATCCTAGCACTTTGGGAGGCTGAGGCGGGCAGATCATGAGGTCAGGACATCAAGACCATACTGGCCAACATGGTGAAACCCCGTCTCTACTAAAATACAAAAAAATTAGCCAGGCGTGGTGGTGCCCACCTGTAGTCCCAGCTACTCAGGAGGCTGAGGCAGGGGAATCGCTTAAACCCGGGCGGCGGAGGATGCCATGAGCCGAGGTCATGCCACTGCACTACAGCCTGGGCGACAGTAAGACTCCGTCTCAAAAAAAAAAGAAATATGTATATATATACACACATGTATACATACACATACATACTACACACACACATATTCCTTTTGGAAAACTAAATATTTCTAAATTTCGTCCCCTGAATTTTAATTTTTACGGATACATAATAGTTGTACATGTTTATGGGGTACATCTGAAATTCTGATAGAAGTATACAATGTGTAATGATCAAATCAGGATAATTGGGATATCCATCACCTCAAGAATTTATCATTTAGTTGTGTTAGGAACATTCCAATTTGTCTTTTTACTTTCTTGACAGTACATTTGAAACAAAGAAGTTTTTAACTCTGATGAAGTCAACTTAACAACCTTCTCTTTTATCAGCTGTTCTTTTGGTGTCCTATATGAGAAAGTATTGTTTAACTCAAGATCACAAAGATTTTTCTCTGCATTTTATGTCCCAGAGTAGCTGGGACAACAATCATAGGCCACCATGCCTGGCTAATTTTTCATTCTTTTTTCTTTTCTTTTTTTTTTTTTTTGAGATGGAGTTTCGCTCTTGCCACCCAGGCTGGAGTGCAGTGGCGCCATCTCGGCTCATTGCAACCTCTGCCTCCTGGGTTCAAGTGATTCTCCTGCCTCAGCCTTCAGAGTAGCTGGGATTAGAGGTGCACACCACCACGCCCGGCTAATTTTTGTATTTTTAGTAGAGATGGGGTTTCACCATGTTGGCCAGGCTGATCTTGAACTCCTGGGCTCAAGCAGTCCTGCTTCAGCCTCCTTGGGATTATAGGCATGAGCCATTGCACCTGGTCATATTCATTCTTTTGAATGTGAATATTCAGTTATTCCAGTACCAGTTGTTGAAACATATTCATTCCACATTGAATTGTCTTGGCCCCTTTATTGAAAATCAACCGATGACAATGTTGGGTTGTATAGTATATACGACTCAACACTTGGCAGTCTTCTTTTCTATTTGTTTTCCCTCTGGTCCTGATTGATTGGCGCTTCTAACCTCGTTGGTCTTTGTCTTTTATTTCTAGCCCTCTGATTATTTCTCCTACTTCTTGTATTTGATAAGAGTTTTTGTTGTTTCTTTATTGTTATTGTTTTAGTCTCGCTCTGTGCTCAGGCTGGAGTGCAATGGCACCTTCTCGGCTCACTGCAACCTCTGCCTCCCGGGTTCAAGCGATTCTCCTGCCTCAGCCTCCTAAGTAGCTGGGATTCCAGGCATGCACCACCACAGACCTGGCTAATTTTTGTATTTTTAGTAGAGACGAGGTTTCACCATGTTGGCTAGGCTGGTCTCAAACTCCTGATCTCAAATGATCCACCTGCCTCGGCCTCCCAAAGTGCTGGGATTACAGGTGTAAGCCACCGTGTCTAACCTCCCCTCCCCTTCCCTCTCCTCCAGTCCCCTCCTCTCCCCTCTCCTCCCCTCCCCTCCCCTCCTCTTGATACAAGTTTAATTTTTTTAGGTTTCAACTTTTAGCACGTTAAGCCTTAGGTTGTGGAAATCTTTTGAGATTTATGCTCCAAGCTCCGCACACAGCTTTCTTACTTGACCATCACCCTGCCATGCTAACCCTAAAGCTATGGAAGTGAATGTAGGAAATTGTATAGAGAGTTTGAATCAGGAGATAGTGTTCAGGCCCATCTGACCTCTCTAAGAAACCATCCTTACCTTGGTAGAGTCACAGTTTGTCAGGGTCCACATAACAGACATGCAAAAAATGCAAAAATGTAAATAATAAGCTGTTTGACTTCATTTATACCACACTTTGATTTTTGTCACAGTTCTCTTGAACCCCCTTTTTTATGTTACCAACTGCTGGGCCTGTCCTTCATTGTTTCCACCTATACCTTTTCATGTTGACCCACAAATTCATTCTCCTGCACTGTTACTTTGACTCTACTTCCTGTTATTTTTGTCCTTTGTAATTTATCAATTCTACCAATAGTTTTAGTGGTAACACCCTCGCCTGACCAAAAAAAAAAAAAAAAAAAAAAAAATCAGTCAGGCGTGGTGGCTCATGCCTATAATCCCAGCACTTTGGGAGGCCAAGGCGGGTTGATCACAAGATCATGAGATCGAGACCATCCTGGCCAACATGGTAAAATCCTGTCTCTACTAAAAATACAAAAAAATTAGCTGGGCATGGTAGTGCATGCCTGTAGTCCCAGCTACTTGGGAGGCTGAGGCAGGAGAATTGCTTGAACCCAGGAGGTGGAAATTGCAGTGAGCCAAGATTGATCCACTGTACTACAGCCTGGGCAACAGTGTGAGACTCCATTTCAAAAAAAAAAAAAAAAAAAAATTCCAGGAACTCCTCTCTTACTGTGGTATCTTAGAAACCATTTTACTGTTGTGCCTCAACTTCATAATCAAGGCCTCGGAAGTTATCTGCCTTGGATGTCTTACCCCTTCATTCCCTTCCAATTCGAGATTAACTGCCTCCATTTGAAATTATATTAAGGAGCCAAATTAAACACAAAAACAGACACATATTGAGATGTTTCAACATCTCAATGGAAGTGGAGAATGGAAGTCTTCCATTGCTAAAATAACCATAAAAGTGAAAACACAGCTCTCAAGAAATAATAATGAAGGCTGTAGATAATGGAAATAGCAATGCTACTGGAAGAAGTAGTCATAAACGCCCCTTGACAGAAAATTGTATCAGGACTCACCTCTTTGGAAGAATGTGCTGATCATGAATGCAAAGAAAATTGTGGCAATGGCAAAACACATTAGAAAAACAAATATCAGACTAGGGTCACTATTCTTGAACACTGCCACATTTTTCACCTATAAAACAATCATATAGATAATTTGTACATGAACTAAATAAGAAGAAAGTAAATCTTCCATTAAAACAATGTAGAAACTGTTTTTAAAATTTGAGATGATCTTAAACACACACATATATAGTTTTTAAATGCAGGACCTTTGCTCCCAGATCCATTACCATTTACAAATTATGTTCCGTACATGTATCCTTTTCTGGAAAGCGTAAGTTTGGATTTAATTTTTCATCCAATGTGAACTTTTATCATTTTTTTAAAAAGCAACCATGGCCTGACAAGTTTTTTCTTTTAATAAGTGAGTTTATCTCATTTGTCATGATCACTATTACAGATAATTCTGCTCTTCTTTTTAATATCTTAAATCTTCTTTTTTAATGTTTCCAGTCATTTCATTTGTTTCATATATTTTTCTGACTAGTCTGGATTTCTTTGTCTTCTTCTGTTCAACCTGCCCCAGTTTTGATAATTTAGAAGGTATATATTCATATGTCCAAATAATGGGTTTTAATTTAGTCACTAAATGCAAGTTGGCAAATTTCATTGATAACATAAAAGAAAAAAATTACAAGATATCATAGACATTAAATAATGTTATCTTTTATAATAACTATTTTCAACTATTTGTAACGTATAAAATTTATGTTTTAAAGTTTATAAAGTAGATTTTTAGCATTCCAGTCTATTAAGGAAATTAATCACACCCATCTCCAGTACTTGAAGGTGAGGTAACTGAAAGGAGGACAAAGCTCTCCCTGATCTTAAAGATCTTAAATGTTTAAATCCCCCAAGTTTCAAAGAATACCACCACATACAACCTGAAGTTTTCCATGTGGTCATCAAGAATGGTGTGTCCAGCTGGGCACAGTGGCTCATGCCTGCAATCCCAGCACCTTGGGAGGCCAAGGCGGTTGGATCTCTTGAGGTCAGGAGCTCAAGACCAGCCTGGCCAACATGGTGAAACTCCGTCTCTACGAAAAATACAAAAATTATCTGGGCATGGTGGTGCATGCCTGTAATCCTAGCTACTTGGGAGGCTGAGACAGGAGAATCGCTTGAACCTGGGAGGTTGCAGTGAGCCGAGATTGTGCCACTGCATTCCAGCCTGGGCGACAGGGTGAGACTTCTGAGACTTTGTCTCAAAAAAAAAAAAAAAGAATGGTGTTTCCAGCATATATTGAATTCCAGCACTACCACCCACAAAACACCAAATTTCTTTCCTACATATTCATAGCTAAGCATATCTTGAAGGACAAGAGACATGTACCTCTGTGCAGAAGAGAATGGTCATGAAAGAAACTGCAATGAAGACAGAAATGAAGAATGTGATGAACCAAGCAAACCAGTGTAACCAGCTTTCCAGTCCCATCATGCACATGTACTCCTAGAGAAAGCAAAAGAAGCAGGTATTACACAGTTCAACACTCAGTTCTAGGTAGCCTGGTTCAGCAGTCTATTACTGAAACCTCAACACAGACTGAGATGAAGAGTTGTGTGTGTGGCCAGTAGGAGTGGTGAAGACTGAGTTTGAAAGAAAAGTACAAACAAATGAATAGCATTTATCTGGTTTATATATAGCAGAGATCAGCCTTGTATTAAAATTATTCTTCTTTTACAATAGAAAGTTTACTGATAGTTCATTCATGTATTAAATACCTAGTATAAGTGAATGGCTCCTACGGCTCTGAAAAGAAAATCTACATGCCCTGGCATCTTATGCCCTGGTTACAGAAAACATTTTGCAACTCACTGAATGCACTATGACTTCTTTGTCTTAAAAAAAATTTTTTTTCTTACATACGTTGTTCTCTTTTTCTCTCATCTTCTCTTTACATAGCAAAATCCTACTTGATTTTCAAAGCCTAGTTCAAGAGCTATTCGGTCTGTGAAACTTTCTCTGGTCAGCTTTGCCCATTTTCCGCATGGCCATAACATCTACACACTCCAATACCTTAGCATTTGGGGTTCTTTTGTAACACTTGATTTTATTGCTGTAAATCACCTGAAAGGGATGTGTCATTTATATGTTTATCTCTAATGCATGTGCCTCAGAAATATAAGTTAGTCAATCAATATTTGGTAAGCGAATAAATGCAAAGCACTGTGCTAGGTACCGTGCAGGAAAAATTAAGATATAAAAGGCAAAATATTGCCTTCTGAAAATTCACAATCTAGTACTGAAGATAAATGTATGATAATAACAGCCACACTACAGTTACAGAAGAAGACTTTTTACCTTTTAAAATTGGAACTACTAGTTAGTTGGTTAATCAAAAACAAGTTGAGTAAGCAAGGAATCACAAAAATGCTATATATATATATATATATATATATATATATATATATATCTTGCATTTTTATTTTTACTTATAGCATATAAATATACAATGTGTGCTGGTATTCTGATGTCAGCACACAAACTCTTCTCTTGAAGCATGGGCCTGCTCATTGGAGCAATGTGAACCCCACCCATAAAGCACACTCTATGATCACAGCCTTGAAAGTGGACTGAGGACATGAATACAGGTGTGTAGCATTCTAGTACAGACTCTGCCCAGGTTTTTATATTTTTTTCTCATATTTTACAGAAATTTACCCACATAAAATTTATTTTTCATTTTTTCATTTTTATTTTTTAGAGACAAAGTCTCACTCTATTGTCCATGCTGGAGTGCAATGGTATGATCATGGTTCACTGTACCCTTGAACTCAAGCAATCCTCCCACCTCAGCCTCCCAAGTAGCTACAACTACAGGTATGAGTCACTGTGCCTGGCCTCATGCAAAATTTATTAGCATTTTTTAAGAGATCTGCCTTACTGAATTTTTCCAAAGCATTCAACTAAATTTTCAAAGGTAACTCCAGTCCACTTCATCTATTTACATATTTAATTAAATTACAAATTATAAGAATGAGTACAGGTATAAAGAGATTTAGGAACAAACTTTGATAAGCATACAACTCAGCAGGTAAAAGATAAACCCAAATTCACTAGAGAGAAGCCTACCAGCTGCAGCACGTTGGAAGATTCAATCCGAAAGTTTTACAGAGGGGATGGAATGTCAGTTAGTTTGGACGACTGATTACATGGAGACCAGTTAAGAGCTAGAAACAACATGCTACAGGAAGATGGGATGAAAGACTGATGAAATTTAGAAAGACTTCTTGAAAGAAGTGAACTGCAAAGAAGAGATGCTTGCCTATGGAAGGAGCAGAATACCTAGTACCTATTTGGGGAATAGAAACGGAACACAGTTAACCAAAGCAAAGGGCTTATGCTGAGAGGGAGAGTGGAATAGGACAAATGGAGTTGATACTGGTAGTTCCTAAATTAAAGACAATCTGTTTTAATTTTCCTTAACCCATCTACATAGTCATACTAAATCAACATGAGGAAGTTTACGAAGAAAGGGTTCGATGAGTTGCTTTCAGTGTTCAAATAAGGAAATGACATTAGTGTCCCACTACCCATATCCCACCTTGGCCCCAGGGCCAAACAATGTCAGGGAATTCTCCCTCTTGGAATATTTCCCATATTAATGACTCCTCCTGGAACACAACCTGCCTACTCCCGGGTTCTTGCTAAGGAAGAGTTGAAAGTTTGGGTTGGGTCTCAGGGCATCACCTGAATAGAATGGAGGAGACAACCACATCAATCCTATCAGCATCCAGGGCTAAATGCTTTTCTAGAACTCCCCTACAGTCTATCTTTTCCTGACTCTGCACCAAGAGGAAATGGAACACATTCCTCTCTGGCCTATTTCATCTAAGATTCCACTCAGAGAAACTAAAGCTTAATTAATTACTGGAAAGCTGTTTTACTTTACTCTTTATCTGGAAATGAAAACTGTATTTATGGCTAGGTTGTACTGTTCCATATAAAATTATCTTGAAATGTTTACCCTCTCTATGTCTCAAGTTACTTCTTCTACTAAATAATGGTATGAGTTATCTCATAGAATTGTGTATCATTCAAGATCCCTAAAGAAAACAACTGTTATATTCAAATTAGAGTAATTCAAAGAGGGTTTATTTATAACAGGCACAGTTATGCACAGGGACAGAAAACCCTATGGGATGGTTCAGAAACCTAGGGCTAGCAGCAAAAGCATTAATACCTTCCCTGGGCCCAAGTGGATGAGAAGAAAGAGGTTACTAGAATTCAGAATGGGAGAGTCTTGTAGAGCAAGACATCTTGAGAGAACAGGGACCTTCAGTTAAGGAACAAGCTGAACCCAAAATTGTGGGGAATGCTCCCGTGTGAAGCCCCCCCAGTGTTGGGCCTCACTGTGCATGAGCTTGATCCCAGACAGAGTTTCCTGCTGGAGGCAGTCGAGCTATGGGGAAGTAGGAACGGAAAGAATAAGAATAACGTCAGCCTCTATTTCTGACTACAGTGACCCTGGGTAATGGATGTGTGTGCTCTTTTGGTTCCTGTTGAGGAGTGGGTTTTATGACTCTGTTTACCAAGTTAAGTATAGCCTTTTGAGGACCAGATGACATTCCTATACTCAGATAAAGATTTATGGCTTAGCCTGTGACATTTCTAGATTGTCATCCTTGTGACCACATGTTCTGTTAACAATGATAAAGTACATCACCTGCTTATCTTTTATGGCCCACGATTATGTACCCCCTCTGCTGACATTTGCTTTTTGCAACTTTCTGTTCCCCTTATTGTATAGCTTACATAATGTGCACTGACGTCAATCCTTATAATCTAAAGGTATGTATTGGAACCCTGGACACAAATAAACTTGCTGCATAGGCATTGCCTATTCAGTCCTCCAGACCCCATCTTTCTGTCTCTCTTTATTTCTGCGTACCCCCTCTTCCAGGCTGGGACCCTCTCGCTGGCCGAGACTCCCCGGAGGGCTCCCCGTCGCCCACACAAAATGACCTGTATGGATCTCTCCCTGTTGGCCTGGGGTCAACACAGGGACTTCATCCTCCTACTTCTTCCCTCTGAGGTCCCGCCAGATTCCTTGTGGGAATATGTGCTGGAATCCCTGCAGGTCAGCCTTCAGGGCATCAAGCAAGGCAGTGAATGGTGAAGGGTAGATCTCTTATCATCAGTCATTCCACAAACATTTTCACACACCTTCCTAGTGGGAGGCAGTGTGCTGGCCAAACAGGAATGACCAGGCTGGACATTCTCAGACTAAAGGCAATGATTCATGTAATGACAGAGATGGCATCACCTAGATTGCAAGCAGGTTAAAATTGTGAACAACCTTCCAAGTTCTAACCCACCCTGGAATTTACTCAGACACCTAAGCAACCTCCTACCTGCTTTGGCCTCATTCCTATTCTGGTCATTTTTCATTAGCAGCTTTCCCACACCCCTGTCCCAGGAGAGGCATACACCTGAAGTAGCTGGAATTACCTTCAGTCTTTTCTCTTTCTCCAGTACAATGGAATTGATGATGATGAGCTCAATACAGATGAAGCTGAGCATGAGGAACAGAGAAAACTCATTCTGAAGGACTAGGAAGAACCTGTCATAGATATAGGGTCCATGTGGGAATCTCTTCACAAGTACTTTGAGACTCTCAAACATGTTGGTCGTCACATTGCGAGCATGGTGCCACATAATGGCTTTATCCACAGCATGCTGTGTGGCCAGGAAGCCTTCTTTGTTGTATCCTATGAGAAAATGTGAATATCAAGAAATTAAGAAAGGTAAAGATGCAGCAACTGGTAATTCAGATGGATCATGGCTAGCCATTCATAAAGAAAGACAGTAGTAGGAAATGTATCCCTAGAGTCCTCATGTCACAGTGTGGAAGAAAGAGAGGAAGGTCACAAGGGAGACCCATGGCTAGCAGACAGTGATGCATGATCTGGAAATGGAGTAAAGGAGCCTGGGCAGGCAAAATAAAAGATGTCCAATAGCCGGGCACGGTGACTCACGCCTGTAATCCCAGCACTTTGGGAGGCCGAGGCGGGTGGATCACGAGGTCAAGAGATCAAGACCATCCTGGTCAACATGGTGAAACCCCGTCTCTACTAAAAATACAAAAAATTAGCTGGGTATGGTGGCGCATGCCTGTAATCCCAGCTGCTCAGGAGGCTGAGGCAGGAGAATTGCCTGAACCCAGGAGGCGGAGGTTGCGGTGAGCCGAGATCGCGCCATTGCACTCCAGCCTGGGTAACAAGAGCGAAACTCTTTCTCAAAAAAAAGATGTCCAATATAAGAATCTTTTGAGGCAGGGACACATCTCCTCCCGTTAGTATTCAGATGTTGGGGAAAGAGCACCTCTTCTGTAGTTTTGATCACATAGCAAGTATGAGGTAGTTAAACTCAAAGCACTTGAAAGACAGTCTTCCTGACCTGATGTGACCTATTTCTGAGGTATTACTGCTGTTGTAGTCCACGGTTTATGCTCAGTGAATTTTGCTACTAAGTCTCAAAAACAGTCCTTATCACAAGCAACACTCATTTCAATGCAGGCAGGTCCAAGAAGCACCGGGTGCCAAGTTTTAGGCGTTTGCTCTGTCAGGGGCAGTGAGACCCCATTGCATGGGAAAGAGCAAGCCAATGGAGAGTAGCCACTCAGCAAGGCTCTCCTTCACCGTCAACAGAGGGTGGCAGAGCAGAAAGTCAGCATGGCTGCCCACGGAGAGAGGACTTCAGCAGCCAGGAGTCAGGACCCGGCTTTGGGACCACATGCCAGCCCCTGGGACAAATAGGAACTCCTGGAAAAACTCCAACCTTCTGGCATTAATTTTCTGTCCACTTATCCTAAATGACAGGAAGGGAGAAGGAGCTTTTCCCAGCCTAGAAATGCAGTTAGGGAGATTCATGAGGAGGAAAGGGAGAGGGCCAGCCAGCACCACAAGGCCTGAAGAACAAGAGCTGGGAGCAGTGCAGATGGGGTTGTGAGGACAGAATAAGAATCAAGGCAAGCTCTAAAGCATCAGTCAGAGTGAATAAAATCAAAGTGAAGCATCAGTCAATGACCAGGCCGGACAGAGTTCAAGGATTCCATCAAGCAGGAACAGACTCTTTGGAGCTGCACAGGCAGGCACAGAGTCCTGAGAGTATGGATGACTATCTTCTGTTTCCTCTTCATTAAATTAAATGAAATGGATGAAATGCAAAGGACACGGTCAGTGGAGATTGTAAGGGAGGTATGTTAGATATAGATCACACAATGTGACATGTGTTGAACAGGACATGTGTTTAAAAAGATTGAATAGGGCCAGGAGTGGTGATTCACGCCCGTAATCCCAGCGCTTTGGGAGGTTGAGGTGGGTGGATCACCTGAGGTCAGGAGTTCGAGACCAGCCTGGCCAACATGGTGAAACCCTGTCTCTACTAAAAATACAAAAAAATTAGCCAGACGTGGTGGCAGGCGCCTGTAATCCCAGCTATTCAGGAGGCTGAGGCAGGAGAATTATTTGAATCACGGAGGCGAAGGTTGCAGTGAGCCAAGATCATGTCATCGCAGTCCAGCCTGGGCAACAAGAGTGAAACTCCATCCCAAAAATATAATAATAATAATAATAATAATAATAATAAATAAAAAGAATAGGAGTGGTACTTGCAAGTGGAAAAGGGCAGCCAAGAAAATCTTAAACATCCATAAAGCACAGATCATGTTTCCTCCATGATGAGAAATGTCACTGCTAAATTGGCCACACCACCCATTGGTCCCTGCACTCTTTGTTCCAGTAAAATGTTTCCATCCTTCCTTCAAACAATTCACTATTGTTACAATCAAATCAATAACTACTGTTTTTACTTACTCTAAAATGTAAGCATTTTACTGAATGCCACATTTCTAAATGTAACTCCTTCAACCTCTTCTGAAATGTTTAGCAAATGTTCTTGCAGCAAAAGCAACAAAAAAAACAGGACAAAAGTGGCTGTACTTTTTTTTCTGAGACGGAGTTTTGCTCTTGTTGCCCAGGCTGGAGTACAATGGAGTGATCTCTGCTCACTGCAGCCTTTACCTCCCAGGTTCAAGCAATTCTCCTGCCTCTGCCTATCAAGTAGCTGGGATTACAGGCATGTGCCACCATGCCTGGCTAATTTTGTATTTTTAATAGAGATGGGGTTTCTCCATGTTGGTCTGGCTGATCACAAACTCCTGACCTCAGGTGATCCGCCTGCCTCAGCCTCCCAAAGTGCTGGGATTACAGGACTGAGAAACTGAGCCTGTCCACAGACAAGCTCTCAACACACACACATACTTCGGGGCTTTCTCACCAGGACTTCTCCCATCAGAAAATGCAAATTCCCGGGGTTCTTGGCGTGGATTGGGAGGGTAAAGAAAGGATGTGCACCAGCCATACACGTCATCTTCAAAAAATATAATCTTCTCCAGGAAAAAATTCTTCTGAATGTAACTGAAGCGCAAACTATACTTAACCTACAAAGAACAAAGAGAAAACAAATTCGGTTATAAAATCCTGAAACTCAGCAAAGGCACAGGACAGAGCAAAGCTGTGCTTGATGTCAGCTGTAACGGGGGCCCACATTAGCAGGTGTCCCTTCGGGGAGCATGCTACAACAGTGGTCTTCCCTGTGTACTCTGGAAATTGTCTGTGCTGCCAGCCTGGGAAGCACACAGCTGCTCCTGAGCCCCCTTCAGGAATGGTATGCTGCATAACAATCAACAGCAAGGGCTCTGGAGTCAGATCACCCAGATTCTAACCCCAAATCTCCTAAGGAACAGCCTTGTCACCTTGGGCAAATTACTTAATCTTCATTCCTGTTTCCACATCAGTAAAATGGGGATGATGTTAACACCTACCTCATAGGCCACAGTAGGATCGAGCCAGATGGTACCTGTGATTTGCCTAGCATTAATAAATGCTTGAAAAACATTGTTGGTTATTTTACTAACATATCTCTCGCCATCTATCAGTAGTCCATACAAGTTCTAACAATTAGGCTGGGCGTGGTGGCTCACACTTGTAATCCCAGCACTTTGGGAGGCCAAGGTGGGCAGATCATGAGGTCAGGAGATCGAGACCATCCTGGCCAACATGGTAAAACCTCATCTCTAGTAAAAATAAAAAAAAATTAACCGGGCATGGTGACACACCCCTGTAGTCACAGCTACTCGAGAGGCTGAGGCAGGGGAATCACTTTAATCCCCGGGGTGGAGGTTGCAGTGAGCTGAGATCACGCCACTGCACTCCAGCCCTGTCGATACACACACACACAATAGTTCTAACAATTAATCATCAGATACACTGTACAGCACAAAAGCTATACATGAGTGGTTTTCCCTTCCCAGAACATAAACCAAATAGTCCCATGTTTACAACATTAACTTTTCCTTAAACAAACTCACACTCATACCATATCTTTATTCATGAGATTACTAGTAATGACAACAATAATCCTTCAGGAAAGTTATTCTGTTCTAGGCTTTGTTCTAAGCACTTAATAGGCATAAAACTCATTTAGTCCTCACAACAATAAGGACACCGAGGACCAGAAATGTTGATAACTTTCCCAAGGTTACATAGCTAGTGAGTTGCAGGACTGGGACTCAAGTCTGTGGAGCCTCATGTTGTAGTCTGCTTCTGTCACCAAGCAGATTAATATATCCCACCCTGAACCCCCAGGATAAAGGCTTGCTCAGAACAAGTCTTCTAAAGAATTTGAAAACTGGAAGGAACCTCAAAGTCTAGGTTGTAAGACATGAAACACAGGAGCCTTTGTTTATCTCCTCTGACAACAGGATGACAAAGCTGCCACAGAGGAAAGCAGGGGACAGGTCAGCCAACAACACTGCAGAAGGAACACAGGCTCAAGCCTGGGTAGCACAGCACGACTGTTAAAGAATGTTCTTACCGCAAGAGGCAAAGATCCACTGCTGTCATTGAAGCTGTGGTCAAAAACAATTCCAGCCAACATGTAGTAAGCTTTTTCATCATCAATTATGTAACGTTCAAACAAAGGCACTGAAGGATAGCCTATAACTACAAAGAGAAAAATCCCATCAGTGAGTTGTTGGTGTGAAGGCAAAGACTACCCAGCTGCCTGCTCTCTACCTAAGGAGACTGAAGATTGACAGCTGACTGCACCATTCACTCAAGAATTTGTTCTGCAAATACACCAGCAGAGACAGAAAATAAGGGCGCTTCTTTGGCTAGAGTCACAGAGGGAGCACACTGGCTCTGCCAAACCACTGGGGAAGAAAAAAAAAAAGAAAAGAAGGGAGCTAAGTTAGGGAACATGACTCTTGTTATTTCAAGTTAGAACTTTAACAGAAGTCTGTAGACCTAGGAACTGCTAGCAACTATCTTGGAGCATCAAGAAAGTAATGCTGAGAAGGAAGAGAGAATTTAAGTGCTGACAACATGACTTGAGACCTGGATCAAGCCTTTTGGTTTTTTATTAAAGAATGAGTTTGTTCTTGTAGGAAGTTTAAGTTCAGTTTCATCCTTTCAAGGCTTGTTTCTAGCCTAAGATTTACATGTTGATTATTTTATTTTTCATTTCTAGAAGTTTTATAGTTCCTTATCTTTTTCCCAAATCTGCTAGGTGGCTCTTTATAGTGACATGTTACATATAAAGCTTTTCACGTTAACTTTTATTTCTTCAAACCAGGTAAACACAGTGATTTTATAACATGAGACTAATAATTCCATTATCTGCTGTTATACTGATAATGATCCTTGGTGTCCTGTTTCCTAGTGTGTTTGCCCACTGACCTTGATACTCTTCTGATGAATATTCTTTGAGATACAGAATGAAGGTACATTCCTCCGGGGAAAATACACATTGGCATCTATCAGTCTGAATCCCACTGTCCCACTTCACAGTTTGAAGGGCTTCTCTTTTCTTTCCTCCCTTCCTTCCTTCTTTCTTTCCTTTCTTCCCTTCCCCACCCTCCCTTCCCTCCTTCCCTTCCCCCCACTCCTCTGATCTCAGCTCACTGCCACCTCCGCCTCCCAAGTTCAAGCAATTCTCATGCCTCAGCCTCCCAAGTAGCTGGGATTACAGGTACCCAACTCATGCCCGGTGAATTTTTGTATTTTTAGTAGAGATGGGGTTTCACCATGTTGGCCAGGCTGGTCTCAAACTCCTGACCTCAAGTGATCTGCCCAAATTGTTGGGATTATAGGCGTAAGCCACTGTGCCCAGCCTTTTTATTCTTTGTTACACTGTTCGGAATTTTCAACACAAAGACTTTATTTGTTGTAAATTTTAAGGCTTCAAAAAAATTTTTTAATCCCCCCAAAAATACATCCCAATACATTAAAGAATTCTTCTGGTAAGTGGGAGCTGGGATCAAAAAAAATTTTTTTTTTGAAACAGTCTTCCTCTGTTGCAGGCTGGAGTGCAGTGGCATGATCTCTGCTCACTGCAACCTCTACCTCCCGGGTTCAAGTGATTCCAGTGCCTCAGCCTCCAGAGTAGCTGGGATTACAGGTGGACATCATCATGCCCAGCTAATTTTTTGTATTTTTAGTAGATAAGGTATTTCACCATGTTGCCCAGGCTGGACTTAAACTTCTGAGCTCAGGCGATTTGCCTGCCTCAGCCTCCCAAAGTGTTAGGATTATGGGCTTCAGCCATGGCAGCCAGCAGAAAACGTTTTAAAAACTGTATAGTTTCATATTATCACTTTTGTAATAGGCAGAAAGGGAGGAAAGGAAGGCAGAAAGCTGTTTAGAGGACAAGAAGTGAGCAAACAAGATTGAAATGGAAGCCAGGTGCAGTGGCTCATGCCTGCGATCCCAGCACTTAGGAAGGCCAAGGCAGGCAGATCACTTGAGTTCAGGAGTTCAAGACCAGCCTGGCCAACACAGTGAAACTCCATCTCTACCAAAAAATACGGAACAATTAACTGGGTAATGTAGCATGTGCCTGTAATCCAAGCTACTCAGGAGGCTGAACAGGGAGAACTGCTTGAACCCAGGAGGCAGAGGTTGCAACGAGCTGACATCATGACACAGCACTCCAGCCTGGGCAACAGAGCAAGACTCCATCTCAAAAAAAAAAAAAAAAAAAAAAAAAAGACTGAAATGGAGACAGTAGGAAGGAATGGAAGACAAGAAGACAACACTAACACTATCCCAGGATTCAAAGGAGGAGATAATTCCATGGATGCAGTAGTTAAAATCATTCTTGTTATAGTGAGGACAAACAGAATGAGGACTAGAAATAAGCTACTAAATTTGGCAATTAGCAAGTCATTAATGAAGTTTTAGCAAATACTGGCATAGTACTGAGGGCTGAATAAGAGTTAAAATGAGTGATAAGTAATAAACTTTCCAGACATTTATCAAGTTAAATTACCTGAGGAAAGATCTTAAAGACAGAATAGGAAATGTTTTCCGTTAAAGTGAAGGTGACTGAGGCTCATTTGAAAGTGAGGGGGAAAATCAAGCCCAGGTGGAAATATTTCTCCAGAGGGAGGAGTAGCTGATTAAGAAAGGCCCAGCAGGAGCAGGAGGGCTTCTAAATGATCACCTCTAACTCCAAAATTTATCTTGAATTTAACTACCTATCTCCATCTTTGTAGTTCAAACTATCACTATCTTTTTCCTCCTGAATTTCTGAAAATACTACTCCCTTCCAATCACACTTTCAGAGAATAGCCAGATAAATTTCATTTAAAACAAATTACATCATATAACTTCTATTTTTAAAATCTGTTCAATGGCTGCCTTTTGCATATGAAAGAAAATCCAAATACTTTAACAATTGTAAGGGTTAACTTTTTAAATATATTTTATTTTTCTCATTTAATTTCATTTTTCTATGGACTTTTTGAAGGCTCTGAGTAATGTGGCTTCTACTGATTTTTGAATCCTCATCTCAAACCACTCTCTCAAAGTACTTTAGGCTGGCTGGCTTAATTTTAGATCTTTGGATACCTGAGTATTAGTATTTACTACCTCAGGGCTTTGCTAATTGCTGCCCCCTCCACCTGGATAGCCCCTTATTCCTGAAACCCAGCACCATCCTGCTTTACATGGCTTGTTCTTTTTCATTTGTGTCTTAACTAACCTATCCCCTCCCCAGAGGTGACTTGTGTTTTTTTAAATTTCATAATCTCATAAGGTAACTAAATTAGAATATGTAGTATTTTAGGTTACTAGAAAACCATGAAGCACAATTTTTTTTTTTTATTGAGACAGTCTTGCTCTGTCACCCAGGCTGTAGTGCAATGGCACAATCTGAGATCACTGCAACCTCCACCTCCTGGGTTCAAGCATTCTCCTGCCTCAGCCTCCCAGGTAGCAGGAACTACAGCCATGCACCACACCCAGCTGATTTTTTTTGTTTTTTTGTATTTTTAGTAGAGATGGGATTTCACCATGCTGGACAGGCTGGTCACGAACTCCTGACCTCAAGTGATCCACCTGCCTTGGCCTCCCAAAGTGCTAGGATTACAGACTTGAGTCACCACACCTGGTCAAAGCACAAGTTTCAAAACATATTCCTGACATATTCCTCCACATTTTACCACTGAGGGCTTTTTTTTTTTTTTTTTTAGAGACAGGGTCTTGTTTGTTCTGTTGCCTAGGCTGGAGTGCAGTGATGCAGTCATAGCTCACTGTAACCTCTAACTTGTAGGCCCAAGAGATCCTTCCACCTCAGCATCCCAAGTAGCTGGGACTACAGGCATCAACTACCACACCTGGCTAATTTTTTTTTTTTTTGGTAGAGATGGGGTTATGCTATGTTTCCCAGGCTGGTCTCAAACTCCTGGAACTGAAAGCCTTTGATAGAATTATCACCGAATTATCACCACTGAGTGGTACTGCAGCTTAGAGAGAAAAATATCTATTAACTTTATGCTCTGTGTATTATTGGAATACTTTTACAGTAGCATGTAGAACAATTATAGTAATTTAAAAAATTTATCCTATAAACTGCATATTTTGAAGAATTTTATCCACCTCATTGCATTAATGCGTTCAATAGATGTTTATCGAGTGCCTGCTATGTGCTAGGTACTACAACAGGCACAGTGATGAACAAAACGGACATGGTCCTCTGCCCTCACGGAGGGGGAGTCTAGCGGAAAAAGGCAGACAATACATAGAAAGCAAGAAAGTGAATGTGTACATAAACATTTATTAAAATACCCTTTTTAATAGAAAGTATAAAACAAGATTCTGTGAGAGAGAATAAGGCAGAGGTAAGAAACCTAAAATTGATTTGTCTTCCTAGGCATCAGTTCAGCTGAAACCTGAAGACTAAGAGGTAGCAACGCACAGGGAGGGCTGGGGCGAAGCACTTTCAGAAGGCACAGCTGGTGCAAAGGCCCTGTGGGGAGAGAACCTCAAGTAGCTGCTTTCTAGGAAGTAAAAGACCAACATGACCAGTACGTGGGAGCACGGAAAAGAGCCAAACTAAGACTGGGAAAAAAGCATGATCAGAACCTGGAGAAGAGTCAGTTTTCTCCCAGGACAATGGGAAGCTACTGAAGGGGTTTAAGCTGGAGACTAAGCTGGATCCTACTGAGCTTTTGAAGATCTTTCTGCCTCCACATGGAGATTGGATTAGAATGGGACAAGAGAAGCAGAGACCAATGAAAAAGTTAGAAATGGTTGGGCGCAGTGGCTCACACCTGTAATCCCAGCACTTTGGAAGGCCAAGACGGGTGGATCACAAGGTCAAGAGATCGAGACCATCCTGGCCAACATGGTGAAACCTGATCTCTACTAAAAACAAAAAAATTAGCTGGGCATGGTGGCATGCACCTGTTGTCCCAGCTACTCGGGAGGCTGAGGCAGAAGAATCGCTTGAAGCCAGGAGGCAAGGGTTGCAGTGAGCCGAGATCATGTCACTGTACTCCAGCCTGGTGACAGAGCGAGACTCCATCTCAGCAACAACAACAAAAAAGAGAAGCTATTTTAGAACCTCTGAATGTCTTCTATGTTTTATTAGTCAGAGACATATAATTGTCAATCAGACCTTTGGATTAATATGAGACAACAGGTGTCATGACAGTTAAAAACAAATACTTTTTAAAAAAATTATTTATTGCATTTTAGGTTTTGGGGTAC